GGAGGGGGGGCTTGTTGGGGGTGGACTCCCCGAAGCCCCCTAAGGGGGTAAAGGGGGTGTGCAGCTTTCGGCCCAGAGGTGCGGGAATGATGACCAATGTCATTAAAACTGCATCGAGACCAGGCACTGCGTGGACCTGAGGTTAGAAAGGGAGATGCGTGGAGAAGAGGCGGATTACTCACTCCTGGTTTGGGGGGAATCCTGGGGGGAGGATGTTGCCGATGTGCCCTCCACAGGTTTCCCCCATTGGAGTTAAGAGGAAAGAAGGGCTGGTCATTTACTAAGCGCCTACTGTGTGCTGGGATATTATAGACAATCTTAGCCGTCCCAGAAACCATGAGGTGGGACCCTGCAGGTAACTAGATGGAGAAGGCCACCCAGAGAAGTGGCAGTGACCTGTCCAAAGACACCCAGTCGGTGAATAGTGGAGCCCCTTGGTCAAGTGACCTCACTTCTCTGGACCTCAGTTTCCTCAACTGTCAAATGAGGCTAATAACAGAACCTACCTGGAAGAGCTGTGGGGATAAAAAGGGTTCAAAAGTCAAGGGGTTAGGGCAGTGCCTGGCACATAGTAGGTGTTCAATAAATGTTAGCCTTTGATACTATTACTATCTTTGTCATTATTAGAAGCCCAGCATGTCTTACAGGTCTGAGCCCACTCCCTTGCCCCAGTTGCCCCCCCCTTTCCCAACATCTCCAAGGGAGGAGGAAATGGCCTCAACGTCCTATAACACCCCTGACTGGGGAGTAGGGATGTTCCCAGAGACTGGGGAGCCTTCCAGAGTCTTAGGCAACACTGGGACAGGACACCTGCCAGGGGTGCCAAGAGAGGACAAGCTGGGTGGCTCCAGGACCTGAATGAGGTGGGAGGGTTGGTGGAAGATGAAGGGATCAGAAGCCACTGAATGCGATGGGGACCTTACCTGTCTGGTCCTGGAACCCATAAGTCTCCCCATTCATGGGCCCCTAAGTTAAGAACCTCAGGGGCTAAGTCACCTTTAAGCCTCCAGCTCTAAAACCATTTGATTATAAGATACAGGTTATTTGTCTTCTCACCCCACTCCCGAGTGATTCATTCATTCCACCTTGCCCTGCTGTGAATTCCAGCTCCTGTTAGCTGGACATCCTTCATCAATGTTCTCCACTGCCGAAGCCTCGGTTTCCTCATCTATAAAATGGGGCAGATGACAGTCCCTCCCTTAAGGGATTGTTAAAAGGCTTAAAGGAGGTGATGAAAGTTAAGCTCTAATCTCAGTGCCTTCTTAACACATTGAATGTGATCAGTAAGTACTCATTAGCCTTATTTTTTTACCCTCCCAGGAAGCATTCATTCATTCCCTCCACATTTGCCAGGGTGCCCTGTGACAGATCAAGAGATGGTCGTTATGTCCTGAGTGCCTTACCTGTATTATTTCATCTAAGTTAAAAATTTCAGCCCCAGTTCACAGGGGAGGAAACTGAGGCTCAGAAAGTAGTAACTCACCCAAGTTACACAGATCATAAGTCATTCCTGCCTTCCAGTAACTCAAGGTCCAGCTGGGCAGGGTGAGGAGGCAGGGGGCAGAAGTAGCCAATAATAATGCATTTGGTAAGAGTTGTAGCAGAATTAACAGAACAAGGTCCTGGAAACACTGAAGAAAGGTTAAATAATTCCTGGAGTGCTTCCCAGAGGTGGTGACTCCAACTGGATCTTAAAGAATGAGTATAAGAGGTATGAGTTAGCCAAGCAAGCAAAAGCATGCCAAACAGTGAGAAGAGTGTCTGCATAGGCTAGGGGCAGGCGAGAAGTAAGAAGCCTATGGTGGCTTCAGGAACAGTGTGTGGTTCCAGGGGCCGGGTCACTGCGTGGAGGAATGGTGAGATGTGAGGCTGGGAAGGCCGGGTGGAGGGAGGTTGGAGAAAGAAGTTAAAGGCCAGGCCAAGAAAAACTTTGCTCAAGTTGAACATGTCTCCTAAAGCCCATGGAGGGTAGCTAATGGTAGGGATGTGAGGTTTGTGTAGTCGGCCCAAGTCAAGGGATAGTGGGACCCTCATCCCATGTAGGATCCTTAACCCATGGTTCCTTTAGCTCATGCTACAAACGGGTGTGGTGACTTAGGGACTGATGAGGTGATATGCAGTCCCCTCTCCCACCCATGTGTGCCCACCTCTCACATACAGAATCCCAACAACAAATCCAAGATTGGCTGTGACATATCCATTGTAGAGGGGGAGATTGAGACCTAGAGGAGTAAAGTGACTGGCACCCATGAGACAGAGCTGGGACAACACAGGACGCCTGATTCCAAGTCTGTTCCTTCCACGTGTGCCAGTTCCTTAGCAGATTCTGCCCCTGCCAAGTAGAAGGTTACAGGTTGGTCAGGTGTCCAGAGGACATATAAACATGGAGTCACAGGACACTTGCACATCCTGTCCAAATCCCACACATGGGGAATGACTTTCCCAAGGCCACACACACTGAGTTAAAGATCTTGCCAGAAATAAAGAACATTATTCATCCAGATTCATCTTCTGAGCCTCTAGCTCTGCCATTTACCAGCTGTGAGACAAGTGACTTTGGACCCTCTCTGTGTCTTCATTTCCTCACTCATGAAGTGTGCACATGTGGAACACCTCCGTAGGGTTGTAGTAAGAATAAAGTGCAGTAGTAACCACTGACGCTTCTGGGCGTTTCCCACGTGCCAGGCACTGCTCTAAGCACTTCACTTAAATTACTCATTTAATCAACAGCCCAATGAGGTGGCCCTCATTTTAAAGGTGAGGAAACTAAGGCACAAAGAGATTAAGTAACTTGTCCAAGATCATACAGCTAATAAATGGAGATGCCAAGATTTAACTGGGGTGCTCTGGCCCCTAGAACCTACACCGTCAGCAGTGCAGTGTCTGGCACACAGGAAGCACTGAGCATGTGGCCTGGGAGTGTCCGATGTCACTGTCTGTGCCCTGGGAGAGGGTGTTCCTCCCCTCTGCCACATCCCACAGCCTGTGGGAGTCTCCAAGGCTCTCCATGGTTTCTGCTAATTCCAGGCATGGAAGGAATGGCTTCCTCAGTCCCCTTTGCTTCCAGCTTCTGCACTTGCCATCTCCATTGGGTCCTCAGAACCCAGCAGTGAAATCCAGTGAGTCCAGCCACTTCGCTAGGTTCCACAGGACGCTCACCGATGACTGATGCCAAGCGTTTCATGAGCTTTGTACGTTTTTCTGATGCTTTGGGTCACAGAGAAGGGTCTTGGGCAGGACACAGTCTTTGGCCATCTGTCTAGTTGGTTCCCGTTCAAACTCCCTAAGCTCCAAATCCTCTCCCCGTGCTATGCAGAGAGCGCGGCCACCCCGCTCCAGGCTCTGGCAGGCACACCCACCCCCATCAAGGAGCTCAGAGGACGCAGAGCCTCTGGTTGGCCAGGTCTGCCCTCCTTACAAGGCATCTGGGATGACGAAAAGAAAAACTTCCCATCACCACCCTCATGGGGTAAAAGAGTATTCTGGGTCATGAGCAAGAACTAACGTATCGAGTTTAGAGCCAGCAATATTAATGACAATGACATGATGGTAACAATGGCGATGCTGGGGACAGCGCGCTTCCATAGGGCTTGCTGCATGCCAGGCGCTATTCTAAGCGCGGCACGTAATTCTTACTCAGATAGGTAAAACCATGGAGAGTAGGCTTGATGTTCACTGTGTTTAGCACTTTGCGTAAGTTGCCTTATTCAATTTTAAGCAGGAAAGTCACTAGCCCTATTTTGTAGATGAGGGGCCCAGTGCTCACAGATAAGGAGGACTTTCTCAAAAGCATAATAAAGCTTGTAGGGGTCACACACCTGCCACGAGTCTGCACAGGACCAGGAGGACTATACGTATAAATTTTAGAGAGTGAGAAAAGGAGAGGGACAGAGAGAGAAACTTTGATATGAGAGAGAAACATCGATCCGTTGCTTTCCGTATGTGCCCCAACTAGGGCCCAAACCCACAACCCAGGTTTGTGCCCTGACTGGGAATCAAACTGGCAACCTTTCAGCGCACGGGACAACACTCAACCAACGCAGCCACTGTGGCCAGGCCCACTCTGCTTCTGGGTGGAGTTTCCAGGTGAGTGTAGGAGGAGAGAGAAGCAGTTGGTGAGAAGGGGAGCACTGCAGACCGATGGCAGAGCTGAGGAGCGAGGCGGGGGTGGGGCCCAGGCCGCCGTCCAGGCCCGGGGCTGCGTGTCTGAATGTGTACCCATGTGCATGCGCCTGCACGTGCTGTGGGCACCCACCAGGGAAGTAGGAAGTCAGTGCCAAACACACAGGTCAAGAACTAACCCCCCACATCCTGCTTCAGGCAGCTGAGAGAGCCGGCTGCCGTCATGGGGGCGGCCAAGAGCCCGTCAGCCAGCCGTCCCCTCTGCCCAACCCCGGGTCACCATCAGCAGCGCCACTTACTTCCTGCCAGCAAACGCTCTCAGGCCAGCTCCATCACTGATCACCGAGCCTTTGGAAAATGTAACCCTGTCAGCCCCCACTGTGAGCCAAGAGGGTTCCTGCTTCACTGCGTGCCCAGGGGTGCACAGCACGCCCGCATACTCATGACGCATGCACGTGTGTGCCCTCAGACACATCCCCGCCTTGTGCACAGTGCAGACACATGCATGCTCACAGCCGTGCACCCAGAGCACATCCCTACAGGCCTGCAAATACTCACATGCCTGCACACCATGCCTGTACTAGAGGCAGGCTCTCACATGTGCACTCCCATTTGTACACAAAGCATATACATGTCTTCCATAGGTGTGTTCTCTTACATGCATGTACATGATACATTTTCATGAGCCAACACATTTCCCATCCAGGCATGCATTTATGAACATATGTGGGTTCCAGACATTCCCATGCAGGCACACAGTACATGTGTGTATATCCCCTCAGATGTGCTTGCACGCATGAACTCATAGCTCCATGGCACATTTGTAATGTATACGCACACTCATGCATGCGCAGGAAAGCATGTGTAATCTCAGGAACAGTCAGTACAAACTCTGATTTCAAGTGGGTGTTGCCCATAGATGTGTTTGCACATGTGAGCACCTGTGAGGTCTGTCTGTACATAATATACATGATGACTTACAAGGATCTAAACAAACAGGCATCTCCAACAAGCACTCAGATCTACACCAAGCTCACACACACATGCAATGGCATATGCCCCCGGGGATCTGCCTGTCTGTGTACTTCCACTTCCACGTGTCCTTGGCCACCTAACCACCTTTGTCTACATGCCCCTTTGGGCAGGCCTGCCATTGTTCACCCACAGCCATGTCACATGTGCCTAACTCCACACGCAAGCATGCACGCAAACAGACACGTGCCCCTGAAGCTCATCTCCCACCAGTGTGTGGGGTCAGAGCTCTGGCAAGTGGGTGCACACACACCCCCCCAGGGAGCAGCCTGCTCCAGCCCCAGATTGTCAGGTGTGCTGGGGACAACAGGAATGGTGCCCACACGCAGAAATCGCCACTCACGCAGAATTGCATCTGCTGCAAACTTCTCATTTACTGTGCAAATGATGATTAAATGTTATTGTGCAAGAGAAAACAGCAAGGAAGACTCATTAGCTTTATTGTCAGGGAGGACTCCATGGGCTCCAGCTCCCCATTCCAAGGCTGGCTTAACCCCCTGTGTGCTGGGGGCACCAGACTCAGATGTGGGCTGTGAAGAATGAGAGTTGAAGAGATAGATTCCAGCGCTGGGCCCATGTGAGCTAGCCTGTGTGCAGAGAGCACTGGGGAAGGAGTCAGGAGTCCAGGTGGCCACTCCAACCTTGCCCCTTGTTTGCTGTGCAGCCTTGGACTTGTCATTTCATTCATCAAATAATCTCTCACCCCTATCATGTCACAGGAACAAAGAGGCCATGGTCCCTCCTGGATGCATGGGGCTTTTCAGATGGAGAAGGGCAGTCCAGGCTGCTGGAACAACTTAAGCAAAGGCTCAAAGGCTCAAGGATGCAGTAGCAGTGGGGGCTTGTCCAGGGAACACTGGGCCTGGATAGGTGAGTTGGAACTCAGGTTATCAAGAGCCCAGTAAGCCCTTGCAAAGAACTTGGACCTTTTCCCAAGAAAATGAGGAACTATGAAAGGTGTATGGATAGAGCTAACAGATAAAATACAGGGTGCCCAGTTAATTTTGAATTTCAGATAAATAACGAATAATGGTCTTAACATTAGTATCTCCTAAATATTGCCCAGACATACTTATACTAAAACACATAGTCATTATTTATCTGAAATTCACATTTAACTGAGAATCCTGTATTTTTATTTGTCACATCTGGCAACTGTATGTAGGGATTTTCATTTTAGAAAGATCACCCTGGCTGCTGTATCCAGGGTAGATTAAAGAGTGAGAGGACAGAGAGAGACCAGTAAAGAGATAAGGAGTTCATATTCTCACTTTTTTTTTAATCAGAGGGTCCCCAAATTTTAGCAGAGCACATGCTATCTATTACAAAGACCACATTTTCCAACCTCTATCACAAACTCTGTATTACCTGGACCGAGTCCCAGCTAATACAATCTAAGCAGAATTGTCATGTGGCAGCTTCTAGGACACCTCCTTAAAGGACTGTTGACCCATGCTTTTTGCCTTTTGCCTCTTTTCCTGCTCCTTTCTGCTGGTTGAACACAGCTGAGATGGCTGGAGCTCAAGCAGCCACCTTAGACCACGAAGACAAAGGCTATACCATATAGATGGTCAAACAGTGAACTCAAAAGAGACTTGGTTCCTTTCAATCTCATGAAGCCACCATACCAACCCTGAATTGCCCACATCCACATTATATTTACATGAGAGACAAATAAACTTCCAATTGTTGAAATCACTGTTATTTTGGTTTTTTGTCCCAAGCAGCCAGGCCTAATTCTAAGCTGATATGAGAAACTGATACAAGAATATCAGAGAGAGATGTTCAGGCTTAAACTGGGTCAGCAACAGTGGATTTGAGAAATATTTAAGAGGAAGAACCAACAGGAGTCAGCAATTGACTGGATATGGGGGTGGTGGGTAGAGAATGTCAAAGGCTGTTAAGCTTGAGTGACAAGGACAGTGAAGCTGGTAATGAGCCAGGGAACCCAGGAGACACCTCAAATCTGGGATCATGGGAAGTCAGTTTGATTTGGGGAATGTTAAGCTTGAGGGGCCTGCAAGCTATATGCACAAGATATGGAAATTCAGGACTGGAGCTCAACAAATCTT